ATGACGCAGGTGGGTAGATGTTCCAACAGCCTGAAATGATGGGACACCACCACTCAACACTCCCTGTAACTCTTCTGAGGTCAAGTCTCGCACACCCAAATACCTCTCTGCAGCTGCCACCACAACCTCTATTTTCTGCGACTTACATTCCATCCCTGCAGTTGATTACCATTGCTATAAACGCTAAAAATCCAATCTTACTGAAACATATATCCCTTGTTGGCCTATCCCTCTGTACTGGTATAGATCTACTACTCCCACCACTCCTCTCAGGATCCTTCCCCCTTGACCCATCTTCCTCTACTCTCTTCACTGCCTCAGCATATGACAACTTCTTCACTACTGTAACCCTGGAAACCTCAACTTGCTTCTCTCGCACGGGACATTTCTGATCCCCAGCCCCATGGGCACCCCTACAATTAACACATACCACTACTTTCCCCAATGCTATACATTCCTTTGTCTCATGCCTTTCTGCACACTTCTCACACCTCCCTCCTACATACTGCTGCCACATGCCCATAAGCTTGACACCTGTAACAACGTAATGTATTCGGTACAAAAGCTCGTACTGGATAACTTATATATCCTAACTTCACTTTGTCGGGCAAAGACTCAACATCAAAACAAAACAACAGACAATGACCCTTCTGTTTCACCACTCTCGCCACCCTGTCTGCGTCGCACCAAACGACGAGCATCACAAACACCGGGAATCTTCCCCTTCAGTTGGTCAGCTTTCACATTTACTGCTACCCCAGTAATCACGCCTTTCTATGGCACCCTTTTCTTGAGATCTCTTGCCCCCATTAGTTAAATATGGAGCGCCTTCTCCCTCTGACCAGCAGAAACAATTATCACTCGACCACTTCTGGTTACCCTCACCGATTCCACAGCACCCAATTCTGTTTTCACCCACCCTGAAACCACAAATGGATCAGCCAAAAGACAAGGTTCCACTTTTTCCAAAAACTTCACTCCTACTGTCACAGACTCATCTTTATCCTGACCCTAGGACCGAGTTTGGGAAACCCTGGTCTAATGGACTGACTTGGAAAAAGACAGCTCCTGCACTCATCCCAAGTCAAGCACTGTAGTTAGCCAACATTTTAAAAATTCAAAATGACATGGCCACATATCAAAAAGCGGACACTGACTTGCACTGGTCTCATATGACTTGCAGTTAGCTCGCTAGCTAGCTATTAGGAAACTGAAGGAAGTGTGACTTGATATACAATTAGTACAGTATACCTTCTGTGTTTCGACTGCGATAACAGTTAGTTGACAAACAAGCTAGCCAGATAAAAATCGATCTTGCAGGCTAGATCATTTTTCACCGATGTTTTGATTAGCCAGTCCGTTTCACAACAAGAGGACCTCTGAAAAGACCTGACGCCCAAAACCATATTTCATTTCAGAATATATTAAAATAAGGTAAAGGTCCGTTTTAGGTTTCGGCAGCTGTGTCAGTCTCTCCCCGCTGAGCCAATCTTCTTCTTCTATAATATTCTTATGGCGTTCCTAAAAAAAAAACGTTGGCGGTGCATCTACTGGAGTGTGTAGTCAATCACAGTTTATAGACTAAATAATAGGTCACCCACCTTTTCTGAGTCGAGATCACTTCGAGTCAAAATGCAAGCCGAGATCTACCTCTCAGATTGACTTAAAAAACGTAAGTCTATGCAGCATTAACTAATTAACAACAGTTCTGTAGCAATGAGGTTTGTGGAGTAGGCTATAGGCCCAGTACATTATCACTGCATATTGAATAGCCCTGCCAATGTTGTTCTCAAACCATTTTCAAATTATATTTCAACATTTTAGGTACATGATCACACTGGTATAGATCATTTGTTGTATTACTTATGAGGCTGCCTCTCACCCGACTCACCGTCCCCCCTCTCTCCGCTGAAAAAGGGGACAGTCTTCCAGCTGATGGCCAAACTAAAGTCACACTGCATTACTTCTGCCTCAAGCACCAATTCATGTTGTTACTCCTATAACCAGAGAAAGTGAAATATTCCTTGATATTAAAAAAGACAAGCCGCAATAATACCAATGCAAGCTTATCGAAAACGGGCATTTTATGGCTTATAAAACGGTTGAACAAAGTGTTGGCAGTGCTGAAAAACAACTTAAAACATGAACTTACTCACTAAAACAGCAGCTCTTTGCCGTATTCATTGAGTCTCTCTCTAGTCGTGGTTTGAAACGTTTTGAAATCTGACATTATCAACTTTGCTGTGCGTTCTTTTTATGGCGTTAAGAAACTGCTGACACGGTGATTGATCTGAGCTATCTGATTGGCTCTCTGGGCAGAGTTCTACCTTCAGACACATGAAATGGTTCAAAATGGGAACACTTTTCCTTCCCGGCGCTAGGGCTGCTAAATCAAGTGCAGCTACCGTCAACAGCGCAAAACGAATACAAAAAATAGGAACGCAAATGGTCGAAAGTATGTGGACTTCCCTTTAAATGAGTGGATTTAACTATTTCAGCCACACCAGTTGCTGACAGGTGTATAAAATCGAGCACACCACCATGCAATCTCCATAGACAAACATTTGTCCTCGGTTGCAACACTCACTACCGAGTTCCAAACTGCCTCAGCACAATCACTGTTTGTCAGGAGCTCCATGGCTGTGGAAACAGCATCTGGCCGTCCAACGGACATATCTGTGTTTGGCGGATGCCAGAACACTACCTGCCTGAATGCATAGTGCCAACTGTAAAGTTTGGTGGAGGAGGAATAATGGTCTGGGGCTGTTTTTCATGGTTCGGGCTAGGCCCCTTAGTTCCAGTGAAGATACATCTTAAAGCTACAGCATACAATGTAGTGTCCCGAGTGGCGCAGTGGTCTAAGGCACTGCATCACAGTGCTAGCTGTGCCACTAGAGATCCTGGTTCGAATCCAGGCTCTGTCGTAGCCGGCCGCGACCGGGAGACCCATGGGGCGGCGCACAATTGGTCCAGGGTAGGGGAGGGAATGGCCGGCAGGGATGTAGCTCAGTTGGTAGAGCATGGCGTTTGCAACGCCAGGGTTGTGGGTTCGATTCCCACGGGGGGCCAGTATAAAAAATAAAATAAAATAAATAATAATGTATGCACTCACTAACTGTAAGTCGCTCTGGATAAGAGCGTCTGCTAAATGACTAAAATGTAAATGTAATGACATTATAGACGATTCTGTCCTTCCAACTTTGTGGCAACAGTTTGGGGAAGGCCCTTTCCTGTTTCAGCATGACAATGCCCCCGTGCACAAAAGCGAGGTCCATACAGAAATGGTTTGTCGAGATCGGTATGGAAGAACTTGACTGGCCTGCACACAGCCCTGACCTCGACCTCATCGAACCCCTTTGTGGTGAATTGGAACGCTGACTGCGAGCCAGGTCTAATTGCCCAACATCAGTGCCCGACCTCACTAATGCTCTTGAGGCTGAATGGAAGCAAGTCCCCGCAGCAATGTTCCAACATCTAGTGGAAAGCCTTCCCAGAAGAGTGGAGGCTGTTATAGCAGCAAAGGGGGGACCAACTCCATATTAATGCCCATGATTTTGGAATGAGATGTTTGACGAGCAGGTCGAACATCTTTGGCCATGTAGTGTATTTGGAGATCGACCAGGATATCGACCGGTTGGTGACCACTGATCTAGATTATGCACTGATTCATAGATTTTCTGATGTTTTCTTTCTTGGTCATGTGACATGAAATTATCCTTGAAATACTGTAGAAGCCAGGTGTGTGTGCTGACATTCACACTGATGATGGCCTGAGGCCTGTTTACAGACACTATTCAGTAGTAAAGACCTTCAAAGAGCGCAGCCACTTATCATTCATTATAATGGGGGGTGAAAATGTATGCACTCACTACTGTATGTCTCTCTAGATAAGCGCGTCTGCTAAATGACTAAAATGTAAAATGTTTCCTGATTAAGCAGCTTAGGCCTATGTATATATGTATATGGTATATGTATATGGTGGGCAAATAATCACTTGGGCTTCTAAATTCAACCTAAAAGATACATTTTATTTATCCCAACTAGGACATACTGTATCATGCTACTAATGATTCATTGATTTAGACCGTCGATCAAAGTCCTGGATAGGTACTTACACTGAGTGTACAAAACATTAGGAACACCTTCCTAATATTGAGTTGCACCCCCTTTTGCCCTCAGAACAGCCTCAATTTGTCGGGGCATGGACTCTACAAGGTGTCGAAAGCGTTCCACAGGGATGCTGGCCCATGTTGACCCCAATGCTTCCCACAGTTGTGTCAAGTTGGCTGGATGTCCTTTGGGTGGTGGACCATTCTTGATACACACAGGAAACTGTTGAGTGTGAAAAACCCAGCAGCGTTGCAGTTCTTGACACACTCAAACCTGTGCACCTAACACCTACTACCATACCCCGTTCAAAGACACATATCTTTTGTCTTGCCCATTCACCCTCTGAATGGCACACATACACAATCCATGTCTCAATTGTCTCAAGGCTTAAAAACATTTATTTAACCGGTCTCCTCCCCCTTCATCTACACTGACTGAAGTGAATTTAACAAGTGACATCATTAAGGGATCATAGCTTTCACCTGGATTCACCTGGTCAGTCTATGTCATGGAAAGAGCAGGTGTTCTTAATGTTTTGTTCACTCAGTGTATATTGGTTTTTATTGGGTTGAACTCATTGCCTCACCCATAAATAGTTCATTTCAGCTCCTTCACTCCTATCAATACATTAAGGCACCAATATAATAATCTCTTAACATATTGAACTATTCCCTTGTTTTTTGCAATACTCCGGTTCTGTCCCAAATGGTACCCTATTCCCTATATAGTGCACAAATTTTGCCCTGGCCTTGTCCAGGTTGTGTAATTATACTTCAAGCTGCCTCAAGCTACAGAAACAGGAGAGGACAGGAGGCTAAGACAAGGCTCCTCACTCTGACTTGATATATAATATGGTGCCATTCGAGACAACCTCTCCAAAACCCTGGTTGTTATTTCTTCATCCTCCAGGCCACGAACAGGGCTGAGGCCACTACAGCAGCCCCCAGAAGGTAGTAGCTCCCTCTTCCTCCTCCTCCTCTTCCTCCTCCTCCTCCTCTCTCCTCCTGCTTCTGCTTCAGTTCAGGGACAGCGCTAGCCTCCATCATGGTCTTCATCATGACAGGCTCCAGGAGATGATGGTTCTCAGCCAAGGAAGAGCCGTTGATGATGGGGACAGAGCCAATAGGAGCTCGGGGAGGAGCATCAGGATGTTTTGTTGAGGTGTTTTGGCCAATCATAATCAGACCCGGAGATTCTTCAGACTTACTAACTGCTTTCCCCAGACTGTCCTCAGTTTGGCCGTGCTGGTTCGGACCAGACGACAGGACAAGGTCTGTAGATCCAGAGAGAGGTGTGATCTGGGATTGGCTGTTGTGGTTCTGAACTGGCGGGGGGGTTTCAGACACACACATATCATTATTACCCAGCATGCTCTGTGTTTGGCCATCCTGATTCTGGATACATGGCTCCTCGGACACGTGGACTACAATACCCAGCATGCTCGGTGTCTGGCCGTCGTTGTTCTGGATGGAGGCGTCCTCAGACACGTGAACTACATTGAGCAGCACTTCCTGGTCCCCCAGGGAGCTCAGGCAGAGGGACTCGTAGGTGTCCTCTTGGGGCTCGTTATGGGACAGGGGTTCTGTTATTTCCTCTGGAACGCCATTCTCCCGACATGGCAGAGGGGTGGCAGTAGGGACGGGGTGTGGGACGGGGTCTGGGACCACAACAGGACTGGTCACATCAGCCGTAGCAGGTTCCAGGCCTGACACAGACCTCTGTAGACGTGTTGAGTCCCCTGAGTATGGCTGGCTGTCCATGATCTCACTGAGGAGGACTTCAGGCTTGCTGAAGAAAATGTCATCCTGGTTCACTGGGTCCACGGCCGGGGAGGAGAGCTGGCTCGGGGGGCTCTGAGCCGGCTCAGTGTGCTGCTCATCTTCAGTCACCTGCAGGAGAGAGATCTTTTAGTTCCTGCTTCTCAATGTTTTTACTGTCTTCAGTTTCAGTGTAGATGTGGTCAACAGATTTCATTTCATTACCAACTTGAATTCAGTAAGATTCAATCTACTCAGCAAAATTACAAATCATTTTATTAACCAAACACACAGGCAATAGGCAGAATCTACAACCCACTCAGAGCTGATTAATGAAGGTGCTGGAGGCAAAAGGCTAAACTAGAGAAACACTAATATTATTATTTACCTGGGTTGGATCAGAGTCCTCGACAGCCTCCTGGTGGAAGGTAGTCACTTTGGCTGTTGGTGGCGAGGTGTCCTGAACCGGACGTCTGTCAGGGGACTGGGCTGTGGCCAAGGCAGCAGGGGTGGGGGTGGATTCAGTTTGGGACTGGGCTGTGGCCAAGGCAGCAGGGGTGGGGGTGGATTCAGTTTGGGACAGGGCTAGGTCTGAGACAGGCAACGTGGGAGTGGTTTCAGACAGGGCCATCTGTGTTGCAGCATCACCGTGAGATGAGTTGTCCCCCAGACTGACAGTTTCAATATGACCAGGCTGGGATGAGGCAGCTTCTTCAGAGTGGGAGACTGGAGGTACAGAGATCACTGTGGGCTCCTCCGCTGAGACAGGAGACGGGGCTGCTTGGGGCTCTGCTTGAGGGGCAGCGACAGCGGAAGGTGCTGCCTCTGAGGCTATTTCAGGGCTCACTGCTGCTTCGGGAGCCTGTGGGGCTGGCTCTGAAGAGGAGACAGCCACGGGAGCCTCAGGAACTGAGCTTGGGGGGGCTTCTGGCTGGGCAGCCACCACAGGAGGTGGCGAAGCCTCTGGGGCTACTTTAGGATGGGGTGAATTTTCAGGTGGGGCTTCCACAGGGGGGACAGCTACCTCTGGTGGGGCTGGCTGAGCTGGGAGGACCAGAGAAGATGGGGACCCCTCAGAGCTCTCTGGGCTGGTAGAAGGAGCTGGATGAACATGGGCCCTGATTACAGCAGCTGAAGGAGGTGAGGGATCTATGGAAGTAAGAGAAACAGTAGCAGATTGAGGCATGTCACCATTACTAACACATAATGAGCACCATGTTCCGTTTGACATTTATTGTAATGGTGAAACATGATGGAAGAAACATTGGATTTGCTTTATTCACCCCAAAACACAGTTCTGGACAGCATTCAAATACGTCAACTGTTTATTGAGCAACAGCCCACACAAAAAAACACATGTCCTCTCTCATCATATCCACAATGTTGAACTGAGTCACAACAGAGATCCTAGTGTCCAGTTTTAAATGCACTTTAAATAAAGTTTGATTTGATGGTGACGTACTGTTCTGGTTGTGCTTGTTCCACTCTGCCCTCAGTTCATCAGCCAGGTCCTGATGTTCCAAAACCACCAGGGCTGATATCAACTCTTCTGGCCAGTTCATTCTCTTCTGCACATAGTCCAGCAGGAGTTGAATCGCCGCATAGTTACCAGAGAAGTCCTTCTTGGCCTGGATCTCCTCCTGAAAGTACAATGAAGGATATTTGTTTAATTAAAACACATTAGAAAATATAGTTCATATATTTATTTACCAGGTACATAATCTGGTTCAGATTATACATCAGATAAAAATAAAAATATTGTAATAATTGGATTGATAATCTGAATAAAACATGTCCTAAATGACCAACAACATCCACCCAGCTACTCACCCAGCCAGAAGCTACTCACCCTGCCAGAAGCTACTCACCCAGCTACTGACCCTGCCAGAAGCTACTCACCCTGCCAGAAGCTAAACACCGAGCTACTCACCCTGCCAGAAGCTACTCACCCAGCTACTGACCCTGCCAGAAGCTACTCACCCTGTCAGAAGCTACTCACCCAGCTACTCACCCTGTCAGAAGCTACTCTCCCAGCTACTCACCCTGCCAGAAGCTACTCACCCTGTCAGAAGCTACTCACCCAGCTACTCACCCTGCCAGAAGCTACTCACCCAGCTACTCACCCTGCCAGAAGCTACTCACCCTGCCAGAAGCTACTCACCCTGCCAGAAGCTACTCACCCAGCTACTCACCCTGCCAGAAGCTACTCACCCAGCTACTCACCCTGCCAGAAGCTACTCACCCTGCCAGAAGCTACTCACCCTGCTACTCACCCTGCCAGAAGCTACTCACCCTGCTACTCACCCTGCCAGAAGCTACTCACCCTGCCAGAAGCTACTCACCCTGCTACTCACCCTGCCAGAAGCTACTCACCCTGCCAGAAGCTACTCACCCTGCCAGAAGCTACTCACCCAGCTACTCACCCTGCCAGAAGCTACTCACCCTGCTACTCACCCTGCCAGAAGCTACTCACCCTGCCAGAAGCTACTCACCCTGCTACTCACCCTGCCAGAAGCTATTCACCCTGCCAGAAGCTACTCACCCTGCCAGAAGCTACACACCCTGCTACTGACCCTGCCAGAAGCTACTCACCCTGCTACTGACCCTGCCAGAAGCTACTCACCCTGCCAGAAGCTACTGACCCTGCCAGAAGCTACTCACCCAGCTACTGACCCTGCCAGAAGCTACTCACCCTGCCAGAAGCTACTGACCCTGCCAGAAGCTACTCACCCAGCTACTGACCCTGCCAGAAGCTACTCACCCTGCCAGAAGCTACTCACCCTGCCTACTCACCCTGCCAGAAGCTACTCACCCTGCTACTCACCCTGCCAGAAGCTACTCACCCTGCCAGAAGCTACTCACCCTGCCGGAAGCTACTCACCCTGCTACTGACCCTGCCAGAAGCTACTCACCCTGCCAGAAGCTACTGACCCTGCCAGAAGCTACTCACCCAGCTACTGACCCTGCCAGAAGCTACTCACCCTGCCAGAAGCTACTCACCCAGCTACTCACCCTGCCAGAAGCTACTCACCCTGCTACTGACCCTGCCAGAAGCTACTCACCCTGCCAGAAGCTACTCACCCTGCCTACTCACCCTGCCAGAAGCTACTCACCCTGCTACTCACCCTGCCAGAAGCTACTCACCCTGCCAGAAGCTACTCACCCTGCCGGAAGCTACTCACCCTGCTACTCACCCTGCCAGAAGCTACTCACCCTGCCGGAAGCTACTCACCCTGCTACTGACCCTGCCAGAAGCTACTCACCCTGCCAGAAGCTACTGACCCTGCCAGAAGCTACCCACCCAGCTACTGACCCTGCCAGAAGCTACTCACCCTGCCAGAAGCTACTCACCCAGCTACTGACCCTGCCAGAAGCTACTCACCCAGCTACTGACCCTGCCAGAAGCTACTCACCCAGCTACTGACCCTGCCAGAAGCTACTCACCCAGCCAGAAGCTACTCACCCTGCCAGAATCTACTCACCCAGCTACTCACCCTGCCAGAAGCTACTCACCCAGCTACTCACCCTGCCAGAAGCTACTCACCCAGCTACTGACCCTGCCAGAAGCTACTCACCCTGCCAGAAGCTACTAACCCTGTCAGAAGCTACTCACCCAGCTACTGACCCTGCCAGAAGCTACTCACCCAGCTACTGACCCTGACAGAAGCTACTCACCCAGCTACTGACCCTGCCAGAAGCTACTAACCCTGTCAGAAGCTACTCACCCAGCTACTGACCCTGCCAGAAGCTACTCACCCAGCTACTGACCCTGCCAGAAGCTACTCACCCAGCTACTCACACTGTCAGAAGCTACTCACCCAGCTACTGACCCTGCCAGAAGCTACTCACCCTGCCAGAAGCTACTCACCCAGCTACTGACCCTGCCAGAAGCTACTCACCCTGCCAGAAGCTACTCACCCAGCTACTGACCCTGCCAGAAGCTACTCACCCAGCTACTGACCCTGCCAGAAGCTAATCACCCAGCTACTGACCCTGCCAGAAGCTACTCACCCTGCCAGAAGCTACTCACCCAGCTACTGACCCTGCCAGAAGCTACTCACCCTGCCAGAAGCTACTCACCCTGCCAGAAGCTACTCACCCAGCTACTCACCCTGCCAGAAGCTACTCACCCAGCTACTGACCCTGCCAGAAGCTACTCACCCTGCCAGAAGCTACTCACCCAGCTACTGACCCTGCCAGAAGCTACTCACCCTGCCAGAAGCTACTCACCCAGCTACTCACCCTGCCAGAAGCTAATGACCCTGCCAGAAGCTACTCACCCTGCCAGAAGCTACTCACCCAGCTACTGACCCTGCCAGAAGCTACTCACCCTGCCAGAAGCTACTCACCCAGCTACTGACCCTGCCAGAAGCTACTCACCCAGCTACTGACCCTGCCAGAAGCTACTCACCCAGCTACTGACCCTGCCAGAAGCTACTCACCCAGCTACTGACCCTGCCAGAAGCTACTCACCCAGCTACTGACCCTGCCAGAAGCTACTCACCCAGCTACTGACCCTGCCAGAAGCTACTCACCCTGCCAGAAGCTACTCATCCTGCCAGAAGATACTCACCCTGCCAGAAGCTACTCACCCTGCCAGAAGCTACTCACCCAGCTACTGACCCTGCCAGAAGCTACTCACCCAGCCAGAAGCTACTCACCCAGCCAGAAGCTACTCACCCTGCCAGAAGCTACTCACCCTGCCAGAAGCTACTCTCCCTGCCAGAAGCTACTCACCCTGCCAGAAGCTACTCACCCAGCTACTCACCCTGCCAGAAGCTACTCACCCAGCTACTCACCCTGCCAGAAGCTACTCACCCAGCCAGAAGCTACTCACCAAGCTACTCACCCTGCCAGAAGCTACTCACCCAGCCAGAAGCTACTCACCCAGCCAGAAGCTACTCACCCAGCCAGAAGCTACTCACCCAGCAAGAAGATACTCACCCAGCCAGAAGCTACTCACCAAGCTACTCACCCAGCCAGAAGCTACTCACCCAGCCAGAAGCTACTCACCCAGCCAGAAGCTACTCACCCAGCCAGAAGCTACTCACCCAGCCAGAAGCTACTCACCCTGCCAGAAGCTACTCACCAAGCTACTGACCCTGCCAGAAGCTACTCACCCTGCCTACTCACCCTGCCAGAAGCTACTCACCCTGCTACTCACCCTGCCAGAAGCTACTCACCCTGCCAGAAGCTACTCACCCTGCCGGAAGCTACTCACCCTGCTACTCACCCTGCCAGAAGCTACTCACCCTGCCAGAAGCTACTCACCCTGCCGGAAGCTACTCACCCTGCTACTGACCCTGCCAGAAGCTACTCACCCTGCCAGAAGCTACTGACCCTGCCAGAAGCTACCCACCCAGCTACTGACCCTGCCAGAAGCTACTCACCCTGCCAGAAGCTACTCACCCAGCTACTGACCCTGCCAGAAGCTACTCACCCAGCTACTGACCCTGCCAGAAGCTACTCACCCAGCCAGAAGCTACTCACCCTGCCAGAAGCTACTCACCCAGCTACTCACCCTGCCAGAAGCTACTCACCCAGCTACTCACCCTGCCAGAAGCTACTCACCCTGCCTACTCACCCTGCCAGAAGCTACTCACCCTGCTACTCACCCTGCCAGAAGCTACTCACCCTGCCAGAAGCTACTCACCCTGCCGGAAGCTACTCACCCTGCTACTGACCCTGCCAGAAGCTACTCACCCTGCCAGAAGCTACTGACCCTGCCAGAAGCTACTCACCCAGCTACTGACCCTGCCAGAAGCTACTCACCCTGCCAGAAGCTACTCACCCAGCTACTCACCCTGCCAGAAGCTACTCACCCTGCTACTGACCCTGCCAGAAGCTACTCACCCTGCCAGAAGCTACTCACCCTGCCTACTCACCCTGCCAGAAGCTACTCACCCTGCTACTCACCCTGCCAGAAGCTACTCACCCTGCCAGAAGCTACTCACCCTGCCGGAAGCTACTCACCCTGCTACTCACCCTGCCAGAAGCTACTCACCCTGCCAGAAGCTACTCACCCTGCCGGAAGCTACTCACCCTGCCGGAAGCTACTCACCCTGCTACTGACCCTGCCAGAAGCTACTCACCCTGCCAGAAGCTACTGACCCTGCCAGAAGCTACCCACCCAGCTATTGACCCTGCCAGAAGCTACTCACCCTGCCAGAAGCTACTCACCCAGCTACTGACCCTGCCAGAAGCTACTCACCCAGCTACTGACCCTGCCAGAAGCTACTCACCCAGCTACTGACCCTGCCAGAAGCTACTCACCCAGCCAGAAGCTACTCACCCTGCCAGAAGCTACTCACCCAGCTACTCACCCTGCCAGAAGCTACTCACCCAGCTACTCACCCTGCCAGAAGCTACTCACCCAGCTACTGACCCTGCCAGAAGCTACTCACCCTGCCAGAAGCTACTAACCCTGTCAGAAGCTACTCACCCAGCTACTGACCCTGCCAGAAGCTACTCACCCAGCTACTGACCCTGACAGAAGCTACTCACCCAGCTACTGACCCTGCCAGAAGCTACTAACCCTGTCAGAAGCTACTCACCCAGCTACTGACCCTGCCAGAAGCTACTCACCCAGCTACTGACCCTGCCAGAAGCTACTCACCCAGCTACTCACACTGTCAGAAGCTACTCACCCAGCTACTGACCCTGCCAGAAGCTACTCACCCTGCCAGAAGCTACTCACCCAGCTACTGACCCTGCCAGAAGCTACTCACCCTGCCAGAAGCTACTCACCCAGCTACTGACCCTGCCAGAAGCTACTCACCCAGCTACTGACCCTGCCAGAAGCTACTCACCCAGCTACTGACCCTGCCAGAAGCTACTCACCCTGCCAGAAGCTACTCACCCAGCTACTGACCCTGCCAGAAGCTACTCACCCTGCCAGAAGCTACTCACCCTGCCAGAAGCTACTCACCCAGCTACTCACCCTGCCAGAAGCTACTCACCCAGCTACTGACCCTGCCAGAAGCTACTCACCCTGCCAGAAGCTACTCACCCAGCTACTCACCCTGCCAGAAGCTAATGACCCTGCCAGAAGCTACTCACCCTGCCAGAAGCTACTCACCCAGCTACTGACCCTGCCAGAAGCTACTCACCCTGCCAGAAGCTACTCACCCAGCTACTGACCCTGCCAGAAGCTACTCACCCAGCTACTGACCCTGCCAGAAGCTACTCACCCAGCTACTGACCCTGCCAGAAGCTACTCACCCAGCTACTGACCCTGCCAGAAGCTACTCACCCAGCTACTGACCCTGCCAGAAGCTACTCACCCAGCTACTGACCCTGCCAGAAGCTACTCACCCAGCTACTGACCCTGCCAGAAGCTACTCACCCTGCCAGAAGCTACTCATCCTGCCAGAAGATACTCACCCTGCCAGAAGCTACTCACCCTGCCAGAAGCTACTCACCCTGCCAGAAGCTACTCACCCTGCCAGAAGCTACTCACCCAGCTACTGACCCTGCCAGAAGCTACTCACCCTGCCAGAAGCTACTCACCCAGCCAGAAGCTACTCACCCAGCCAGAAGCTACTCACCCTGCCAGAAGCTACTCACCCTGCCAGAAGCTACTCTCCCTGCCAGAAGCTACTCACCCTGCCAGAAGCTACTCACCCAGCTACTCACCCTGCCAGAAGCTACTCACCCAGCTACTCACCCTGCCAGAAGCTACTCACCCAGCCAGAAGCTACTCACCAAGCTACTGACCCAGCCAGAAGCTACTCACCCAGCCAGAAGCTACTCACCCAGCCAGAAGCTACTCACCCAGCCAGAAGCTACTCACCCAGCCAGAAGCTACTCACCCAGCCAGAAGCTACTGACCAAGCTACTCACCCAGCCAGAAGCTACTCACCCAGCCAGAAGCTACTCACCCAGCCAGAAGCTACTCACCCTGCCAGAAGCTACTCACCAAGCTACTGACCCTGCCAGAAGCTACTCACCCTGCCGGAAGCTACTCACCCAGCCAGAAGCTACTCACCCAGCCAGAAGCTACTCACCCAGCCAGAAGCTACTCACCCAGCCAGAAGCTACTCACCCAGCCAGAAGCTACTCACCCTGTCAGAAGGTGTAAGGCAAGGGAGATTGGCCATGAGCTCCGTTGCTTTCACTCTGCTCACAAACACCCCCATTCTGTGCCGCAGGTGCATAGACAGTTTTTCACGGGCAAACAACGACATCGTCATGTGCTGTGGAGAGAGCAGGAGAGGAGAAATGATCAGCAACACAGGTATAGTGCGTGGCTATGAAGCAGTCTGGCTGTAAAATGAGCTACAACTATGCAGGATTGTTACCTGGTCTCTCAGATGGATATATTCTACTTCAGGGTGGACCTCAAAATTATCCTATTGGCAGGTGTTGAACCCTGAAAATAAAAAGGTAAAAACATAGTAACTCATTAATAAATAAAATAAATTGGTCATTTAGCAGACGCTCTTATCCAGAGCGACTTACAGGAGCAATTAGGGTTAAGTGCCTTGCTCAAGGGCACATCGACAGGTTTTTCACCTAGTCGGCTCGGGGATTAGAACCAGCGACCTTTCGGTTACTGGCACAACGCTCTTAACCACTAAGCTACCTGCCGCCCCAGCTATCTACTATTAATGACCTCCAGACTATGGGAGAGCTTAATATCACAATCCAAGGAGCTCTAGTCTAGCAACTGGAAACCTACTGTGGCACCCTATTCCCCCTGGTCACTACTGTGGCGCCCTATTCCCCCTGGTCACTACTGTGGCGCCCTATTCCCCCTGGTCCCTACTGTGGCACCCTATTCCCCCTGGTCACTACTGTGGCACCCTATTCCCCCTGGTCACTACTGTGGCACCCTATTCCCCCTGGTCACTACTGTGGCACCCTATTCCCCCTGGTCACTACTGTGGCACCCTATTCCCCCTGGTCACTACTGTGGCACCCTATTCCCCCTGGTCAAAATCCGTGATTTGTGCATTTTTATTGGGTAAGCATTAGAATGAGCTGCCTCAATATGTGCAGCCGTATAATGCCTCTCTAGGAGCTGATCCGTCGCCAGTATTTCGGAATACTGTAATTCTAATGTTAAAAGAAAGATTTGAATAGAGAAAGCTGATCTGAGAGCAGCACTCCCTTTCTTTCGATCCTATCAGTATCGACACATGCTCCCAACTATGCATTTAGCAACCGTTCTCTCTGCGTGGTGTTTTGGGAAACGCATTTTACATCTTCTGCCTTTGTAGGAAAGATGAATTGTTAAAAACACTCCTAAGCCCCATCGCTGTCGGGGGAAAACCGGGCCCAGACCTTTAGAGCAGGAGAAACATTGTTTATTGAACACACTTTAAATCCTTCCCTGTTCATACCTAGACACACTGACAGATAATCTGTTGTTGTTCTGTTAAATAAGGAAGGAGCCCTTCATTCATAGGACATCCAGTCTATATAAGGCTACTAAAAATGGCACCCTATCTGATATATAGTGCACTACCTTGGCACCCTATCTGATATATAGTGCACTACTCCCTTTGACCTTGGTGCGTAGGGCTGTGGTGAAAAGTAGTGCACTATATAGGGCATAGGTACTCCTTCATTCCCAGGATCTCCTCTCTACATCGTCCACTACAGCTGTTGATTTAATCCCCAGACTATTTACCAAAATAGTGGCGGGGGGTGTCCGCTTTGTTGTTGTTTGAACTGCAGATTTACCGTTTAAGAGTTGACAGTCAAAATGTATCAGGTAGATTTAAACCCAGGAGAGAGTGTCCCGACCTAGGAGACTGTCGGAGTGATATAGATTTAAACCCAGGAGAGAGTGTCCCGACCTAGGAGACTGTCGGAGTGATATAGATTTAAACCCCGGAGAGAGTGTCCCGACCTAGGAGACTGTCGGAGTGATATAGATTTAAACCCCGGAGAGAGTGTCCCGACCTAGGAGACTGTCGGAGTGATATAGATTTAAACCCCGGATAGAGTGTCCCGACCTAGGAGACTGTCGGAGTGATATAGATTTAAACCCAGGAGAGAGTGTCCCGACCTAGGAGACTGTCGGAGTGATATAGATTTAAACCCCGGAGAGAGTGTCCCGACCTAGGAGTCCGCCTGACCTAGAGACTGTCGGAGTGATATAGATTTAAACCCCGGAGAGAGTGTCCCGACCTAGGAGACTGTCGGAGTGATATAGATTTAAACCCCGGAGAGAGTGTCCCGACCTAGGAGACTGTCGGAGTGATATAGATTTAAACCCCGGATAGAGTGTCCCGACCTAGGAGACTGTCGGAGTGATATAGATTTAAACCCAGGAGAGAGTGTCCCGACCTAGGAGACTGTCGGAGTGATATAGATTTAAACCCCGGAGAGAGTGTCCCGACCTAGGAGACTGTCGGAGTGATATAGATTTAAACCCCGGAGAGAGTGTCCTGACCTAGGAGACTGTCGGAGTGATATATATTTAAACCCCGGAGAGAGTGTCCTGACCTAGGAGACTGTCGGAGTGATATAGATTTAAACCCAGGAGAGAGTGTCCCGACCTAGGAGACTGTCGGAGTGATATAGATTTAAACCCAGGAGAGAGTGTCCCGACCTAGGAGACTGTCGGAGTGATATAGATTTAAACCCAGGAGAGGGTGTCCCGACCTAGGAGACTGTCGGAGTGATATAGATTTAAACCCCGGAGAGAGTGTCCTGACCTAGGAGACTGTCGGAGTGATATATATTTAAACCCCGGAGAGAGTGTCCTGACCTAGGAGACTGTCGGAGTGATATAGATTTAAACCCAGGAGAGAGTGTCCCGACCTAGGAGACTGTCGGAGTGATATAGATTTAAACCCAGGAGAGAGTGTCCCGACCTAGGAGACTGTCGGAGTGATATAGATTTAAACCCAGGAGAGGGTGTCCCGACCTAGGAGACTGTCGGAGTGATATAGATTTAAACCCAGGAGAGAGTGTCCCGACCTAGGAGACTGTCGGAGTGATATAGATTTAAACCCAGGAGAGAGTGTCCCGACCTAGGAGACTCATATGTCATTCTCTGTTTAAGCTGTCACACACACACACTACTTACCCGTGAGACCATTGTTGGGCGGGTAGCAAAAGTTTTACAATGTAAGAAAATAATATATGAGAGAGTTAAGAAACAGGTGATCGGGTGAAGCATTAAAAGGACAGCCTAATAGGAATGTGCAATGTGAAACGCTGAGAGAAAAAAGCACCTTGAGGAGACAAGGGCAACTAGGCAGAGCTCTGCCAGGGGAATGCCCTCTAGTCTAAACACTAGGTCACCCCAACCCTGGCTCACCTGGCTGTAGGTTACCTGCTCAGGTGTGTAAGGGATATTATCAATCAATGTTTATAAGAGACAGAATACATGATTGATAAGGCCTACAATATTGTCCGAGTAAATAGTACAGTAATTGTCTATTTTCACGTAGGCTGCCATCTTATTGAAGGGTAACAGTCAGAGAAAAACATCTTCACTGCAGACTGAGGTGTAAAATTATGTGTTATATTTTCAATGACAATTTGTCACAGATTAAATAAACAGATTTTTTGCGTAATGATCAGTCCATGTTCAGTGCAAAAGTGAGGTAAAGACCGAAATGTCTGAAGACTGTTGCGCACTTCAGAACAGATCTCTCTTCTACGCAAAATGAAGCATAAATTCCGATCGGCTACATTTCCGATTTCCAAGTTTGTAACAATGAACAGACTAGTAAATTGTATATTATGATGTAACTGACTGCTATGGCGTTCTTTCCCCTATGGTTTTTTCCCCCCCATTCAGTTTTCTGACCAAATGCAGGAAAGCCTGTGTCGACAGTTGAGCTCCAATCAACGACGGAGAAAAGTAGTAGCAATGCTGGTTGTAGTGAAGGACCCGTAAATGTCAGAAATACACAATTGTCTTACCTTTACGTGGTTGAACTTCGGCAGACGGTGAATATAGCACTCCTGTGCGCTTGAAGTATACACGCCAGCACCTATGTGACGCTAGCCACAATAAGGATGAGCCACAATATTGGAATTTGAGATTTGCCTTCAAAATAAAAGTTATTCATTGAAAGTGATGCAAACGGACACAAATAGTGGAATCGTGCCATATTTGTACTAGGTAATGCTAAACAGGGTTGGAATGTTGTTACATAAATGCAACAAAATACAATAATTATTTAATTCGACAAAAATTTGAAATCGCATTGTAGATATACAAGTCTTCAGAATTGCATTGGGGAGATTCATTTCACTGTACAGCTGTACCTATGGACTGTGGATCAATGAAATGGTGAATCAGTCTACTCGGTGACACCCACAGAACACAACTGTGAAGAGTTTACACACATATTAGCATCGTAGCTCTTATTTGCGGGACTAATATATGTCTAAACTTCACAGTTGTGTTCTGTGGGTGTCACTGAGTAGCCTGATTCGCCATTTCATTCATCCACAGTCCATAGGTACAGCTGTAAAAAGTGTAAAATAATTATGCCCCCAATGCAATTCTGAAGTCTAGTACATCCACAGTGACATTAACAGATTTTAACTTTTTTTGTCAAATTAACTAATTGTGTTTTGTTGAATTTATATAAACATTCCAACCTTGTTTAGCATTATCTAGTCCAAATATGGCATGATTCCACCCTGTAGCTCAGTTGGTAGAGCATGGCGCTTGCAACGCCAGGGTTGTGGGTTCGTTTCCCACAGGGGGGCCAGTATGAAAATGTATGCACTCACTAACTGTAAGTCGCTCTGGATATGAGCGTCTGCTAAATTACTAAAATGTAAATGTAAATGTATACATTTGCATCACTTTCAATGAGGGACTTTAATTTTGAAGGCAAACCGCAAATTCCACTACTGTGGCTAATTCTTATTGTGGCTAGCTTCACATAGGTCAACAGCTGACAACTTTCTATTGAACCCTTAAGGTCGATGTCTGAGCATAATAAAACATTCCTTACTGCTATTAGCCCATACAAACACAATGAATAACAGATTCACTACATGGAACAACAGATAGTCCCCCCAAAGAAATCTAAAGGAAGTGTTCTAAATGTAAATCTAAATGTAAATGTTCTAAAGTGTCTGTCCTATATCTGAGAGATATAAGCAAGATCAGGAAACATTTTATATATATATATATATATTTTTTTATATGTATTTAACCCCTTATTTTAGTCACTAAACAGGCTCCATATATACATCCACTAATTTTTTCAAC